TCCCACTAGCACTTGATCCTGGACTTCTGGTTCCCAGATCCCCAAGAGAAAACACTCTTGGTGTTGTTTAAGCCATTCTGTCTGTTAGTGGTGTTTTGTTGCAGTTCACCTAACTACAAAGTTTCTAAAACAAACAAACAAACAAACAAACAAACAAAACAACCTCCCTCCCCCCAAAAAAATCCAAAACCCACCTAAGTTTGGCTGTGATTTCAAGGCATTATCTTCTCAAATTTGTGTCCATTATGTCTAAAAGAATCACATAGATGTTTTGAGAGAGGAAATTGCTTCCTCTTTTCCTTTCCCCATGTAAAAAAACAAACAAAACAGACAGGCATGGAGGTGTAAGCTTTTAATCCCAGCACTGGGAGGCAGAAGCAGGATGATCTCTAAAGGCAGGCTGATCTCTGAGTTCAAGGCCAGCCTGGCCTACTGAGCGAGTTCCAGGACAGCCATAGCAGTTACACAGAGAAACCCTGTCTTGAAAAACCAAACTGAAACAAAACAAAAGAAAAAAACATAATAGTTGCTCTACTATCAGGGTAAAAATTTCATTATATACATACAAAGAAAAGGTAATTGTGGCGTCCTCAAGTGGAATGAATTTGAAGGCAGAGAAAACAAGCGACTATTGAGATGAAGACCTGAATGAGGGTCTACCTAATGTCAAATAGAAGTTGTTACACCAGCAGTGAGTTTTAGTCTAAATGATCTGAGGAATTTCATACAAGCAGTGATCTCACATCACTGAAACAGCTGGTGGTAACACTGGAAGATGCCAGAGACAGTAACTGAGGAAAGAAGCTGGTACATGGGAGGAGCCGAGACAGAAGGCAGTCACTGACATCAGTCTGAGGAACGACAGTAAGTATACTGGCTTTACATACTACGTAGTCCCACCACCTCGGGACAAACTGTTTGAGGAGCTGGCTCGGTCACAACTGAAGAGCCTGTTTCTAATTAATACATTCCCTTTACTTGTGTTTAAATGGATAATTCTACTTTTTTTGTGATACTAGGTGTTGAGCTTAACACTTCCGGGTGTGCCTAGGCGAACACGCAACCCTGAGCTCATCCACAATATCACCTATCTAACCTCTTTCAACCAGAATGTCTCAGCCACGCTGTCACTGAGTTTCATTGCAGAGTACCACCACCTTGCCAGGCCTAATTCTGCATTCCTGTAATTTCCAGTTGACCTATGCCTGACCTCAGGACCAACTCACAACTGGAGTTCTCTTCCCCATGAAACGCAACTAGTTCCTTCACCTTTCTTACATGACATTTCTATTCTCTTTAAAACTGTGGACACTGGCACTCCAGTGGATTTGGGAGTCAATGAATTGTTTGGTTTCATAACACACACATTTAGGACTGACCTTCCTCCTCATTGCTAGACAATAATTTTATTAAGTGGGCTTAATTCTATGAAAGCACAGAATCTAGGAATTATTCAGTACTGATGCCTGTTGATGACTGTATTGGTTAGTTTTATGTCAATTTGACACAGCTAGTTATCTGGAAAGAGCAACCTCAAGTGAGAAACCGCCTTCATCTAGAATGCCCGTAGGCCAGTCTGTAGGACACTTTCTTGATTAATGGTGGAGGTGGGCTCAGGCCACGCTGTGGAGGTGTGGAGGTGGGGCTGCCACCTTCCTCCACCCTCCCACCCCCCTCACCCCCCCACCCCCCCACAGGTAGTCTTGAGCTGTGTAAGAAAGCAGCCTTAGCAAGCCTTGAGAAGCAAGCCAGGAAGCAGCTCTCCTTCCCAGCCTCTGCATCAGCTCCTCCTCTGGGTCACTGCCTTGCATTCCTCTGCCCTGACTTCCCTGGATGATGGACTATAAAGCTGTAAGAAGAAATAAACCTTTCCTCCCTGAGGTGCCTTGTTTTATCACAGCAACAGAAACCCTAACTAAGACGACTCAACTTCTCATCTTCCCAAATTCCTCTTTCCTATCACCATCCGAACTGCAGGTTTCACTACTACTCAGGCCTGCTTTGATGTGGGAAGGACTTCAATTAGGGGTTACTATCTAATCTTACCTCCTCATTCTGTCTCTAACCACCTTATTTGTCTTACTAACACTCTGCTCGATTTAAGATAATGAATCTTCACCGGGCGGTGGTGGCGCACGCCTTTAATCCCAGCACTCGGGAGGCAGAGGCAGGCGGATCTTTGTGAGTTCGAGGCCAGCCTGGGCTACCAAGTGAGTTCCAGGAAAGGCGCAAAGCTACACAGAGAAACCCTGTCTCGAAAAACAAAAACAAAAACAAAAAACAAAAAACAAACAAAAAAAAAAAGATAATGAATCTTCTCAGGTACGGAGGTTTCCCTTGCCTCAGGCTTGGTCAACTTCGTAGCTATGTCTGAACACCGGCTTGGCCAACCCTTTCCTTAAAAATCTCAACTCCTCCTTCTGTTCCTAGAGGGAGGCTGTGTGAGAGGGACGCCAGGCCACAGACCCACACCTCCAGAAGTCTGAAATTCTTGATTCATGTTCAAGCCACCGTGAGCAGGGATTCGGAGTTAATGTGGAGCATGGTTAAGTGAAAGACAGTTTTAGAGTGAAGTTGCTGAACTCAAATCTCAGGTTGGTGTTTGCAACCTTGTGACCTGGGCTTACTCAACTGCTGCAGCCATCATCTGCATAAAGGGGATAATAAAGTCCTAGTAAATGTTCAATGAAAGTTACTGCCAACAGTCATAACTGTTTATTATAACAATTATTTACAGATGCATGTCAAACTCCATGGAATTATACGTCTTTGTGGTATCCACAAGTATCACCTATTTTTCGCCACAAACTGTCTTGTCTCCTCTCTGGTTGCCAAAATATTAATCTTGTTGAGAACTTTAATAGTCACAGAACCTTTAAAGATACATACAAGCCACCTATGTTTCTTTTTTAAATATTTACCTTTATTATTTTAAATTGTCTATATGTGTCCCTGTGTGGCTATGTGCATGTGAGTGCAGGTGGGAGCAGAGGCCCGAGGTGCTGGATTTCCCTGAAGCTGGAGTTCCAGACAGTTGGAGTCACCTTCTCAAAGAGGGTGCTGGAAATGCAACGTGGGTCCTGCGGGAGTGCTAGCCATCTCTTCAGCCCCAGCTTTCTTTATATATATATAGTCTATTTGTGCTGTTGTTTTGTATTCGTATTTATTCTACTTTGCTCTTGACTTTATGTTGTGTAGAATTCTCTTACGTAAGTTAGGCCAATTAGATTTTTAAGTTCCCTGACAGCAAGAAACTGTTCATACTTCTGTAGCTCGGATACTATTGTTCAAACAGTAAGACATACATACATACATCAAGTAGATTGAATGAAATTAAAATACTCTACTAAAGCCATTTATAAAACTTTTATTTTTCAAGGAAGAATGTGGCTTGTTTTATGTGTGTGTGTGTGTGTGTGTGTGTGTGTGTGTATATATATATATATATATATATATATATATACATATATACACATATGCCACCCCCTGTTCCCCATCCTCCCCTTCTTCCGCCCCCCCCCCACCTCCCCATCCCACTCCCACCCACTCCTCAGAGTGGGTAAGGCCTCCCTTGGGTATTCAACATAGGCTGGCATACCAAGTTGGGGTGGGTCCAGGTTCCTCCCCACTGCATCAAGGCTGAGTAAGGCATGGCATCATAGGGAATGGGATCTAAAAAAGCCAATTCGTCCTGGTCCGATTGCCAGGGGACCCACAAACAGATCAAGCCACACATCTGTCACCCTCATGCAAGGGGCCTAGTGCGGTCCCATGCCGGCTCTCTAGCTGTCAGTCCAGAGTCCGTGGGCTCCCACTAGCTGGGGTCAGCAGTCTCTGTGGTTTTTCCCATCATGATCTTGTCCCCATGGCTTGTAATAATTAAAATAACAGAAAATGGGCTCTAAATAGTTACCAAAGAGCACCTGTGAAATTCGACTTGGCGTTAATTCCTAAAATGCCGTGCTAATTTCCAAATACTTAACCCGCACTTGGATGCAGTTATTTAGAGTACAGCAGCTCCTCTTTCCTTCACTGGACGATGCATACTTCAAGAATATTTTTATCCCAAACTTAGTCCTTACTCTTTGCGGAGGACTATGCTCCAGCTCAAGGACTTGCACTTTAGTTTGACTTTACACAGCCCAACACGTGGCTGCCCTAAGACTTCAAATTACCTTCAACAGCGAATGACTCGCACGCACCGGGGTCAAATGGGACGCTCTCCTTTCTCTCCACCTTCACTCACTTTCCCCAGCCCTTAGGGTTACGGGGCTCGGGGAAGGCCGAGGCCAGGTACAGTAACTGGGGTTCCCTTCCTAAATCTTCGCTCCGGGCACCGCAAGTACTCAGCATCATCTTCGGGGCCCTCCTCCTTGCAGCATGGAGGTTGGGGAGACCGAGTTTCCTTTGGGGGTCCGGTGCCTCCCGGGGGCTGACAGCGGGGGAAGCGGCCCGCGGCGTGGGCGGGCTCTTACCAGCGAAGCGGATCTTGACGAGGTCCAGCGGGTGCAGCGCCAGGTTGGACAAGACCCCGCCGCTCACGCCAGCCACCAGGTTCTCGTACCGGACGTGGCGGAACACCGTGCTCCACGCCGCCGACCCGGCCGCCGACTGGCTTTGACCTGTCATGGGCTCGGGGCTCGTCGGCACTACGGCGCCTAGCGCCGCCGACGTGGGGCGAGATGTAGTGGCTGCCACCGTGACGACAGTCGCGGCGGCCCGGGGCCAGGAACGCAGGACGCGAGTCCACTTCCGGGAGCGGAGCCCGGGGCCCGGCAGCAGCGGAGCAGGGAGACCCGCGGGGCCGAGCGGCGGGAGGGAGCACGAGCGGGGGCGGGCCCGCCCGGCCACGCCCACAGCTGCCGCGGGCCCGCCCCCGGGACGTCACGCCCCCAGGACGTCACGCCAGCGACGGCGGAAGGACCGCCCCAACCCCGTTCGGAGCCACTACGGAACGCCGCGGGGTCCAGCCGAGCCAGCCGGCTGCGGCGCGGCGGGGCCACGTGACGGGAAGAAGCCCGCGGAAGGCGGAAGAAGTAGTAGGTCTGCGCGGAGCCCGCCGTCAGCCGAACCCGGCCGAAGGCTCGTGGAGTCTGAGACTCAGAGCCGCCGAGATGAAGGTGAAAATGCTGAGCCGGAACCCCGACAACTATGTCCGCGAAACCAAGCTGGACATACAAAGAGGTGAGACGAGCTGAAGCCGAGGAAGGAGCGCCTGCCCGGGCTACCTGGATCTGGCAGCTTTCGAGCTGTGTCCACACAGGGAGGGCTGTGGAGGAACTGAGTTGCAGACGACATCTCAGTAACTTTTTTAGCATTTCCCTCTAGTGGGAAGTAGTTACGTCTAGGAGGAGTGCTTCCCGTTTTCAGCCTGTGTCCGTCGTTCTGTGTCCGGGTTTCTAGCTGTTGGAAAGTGGAGTTTGAGCCAAACTCGTGAGTTAAGGCTTCGAGATTTTTTAAAACTTAGCTGCTGCTTTCGGCACTTAGATCATCTACTTCTGGAGAAGGAAAGGAAAAAAGATGAGAGATTTAAAGCGGTCAGTTTTCACATTACTACTCTTGGGAGTTTGAGGAGAGAACGGTTAAAATGAAGTTGGTGAGGTTTATTTATCTTTCCTGGTCTGCACCCCGTTAGTATGCCGACGCTTTATGAGTTAGTTCTTGGTAACGTAAATGACAAGAGACCAGTCTTGTATGAACAGATCATTCCAACTGAAGGGAATAGTGATAACTAAGGCATAGGAAAGAAGTATCATGTCTTTAGAGTTAATGAGAGTAAGTGATAGAAGATGGAGCTGGAACATCTAGCTTGTTACTAGAGGTTATCAACGTGTGTGTGTGTGTGTGTGTGTGTGTGTGTGTGTGTGTGTGTGTGTGAGAGAGAGAGAGAGAGAGAGAGAGAGAGAGAGAGAGAGAGAGAGAG